GAAGATAGGCTGTGAACAGTGCACTGCCGCAACTTCAAACTCGATTTAGACCTTGATACAGTCAATATCTCTCAAAACTCAAAACATGAAAGTTTTAGAGCTCTTTCGTATCATTCCATAGCATCTTGAATCATCTTAATCGGAGTTTGGATGAGAGAGTTATGCTCAGATAACGAAACGATGTCAAAATAGTCCAATTAGTTTTATTTTGCATTTAATGTCTCCATTTATATCCTAAATCAAAATATAAGAATAATGAGTACTTTTAGATTTCAAATAAGTATAAAAGGCTTTAAGAAACACCCTTTATCACCTTTTATTTGTAAACATCGCAAAACTTCATTAATAGCCGATTCGGATGGGTAAAATAGAAACTTTAGTGTTTCGGGTGTACATTGACTTGGGTTTTGAGATAAATCATAACAATAAATGTTTTTAGGTTAAAATAACATTAAAAATGAATCCGGAACGTCGACAAACCTGAGGGTAGTCATATGAATCAAATTGGAGATTCTTAGTGGCAAAATCATAAATTTGGAGAAACCCAAAACAGCCAGTGAACATTGTTTTTCGGGGCTCCTATGTTTTAAACTCATTTTCATCTCATTTTCTCTCATTTCCTTCACTCCCCTCACACCCCCACACCTCTTGAAACCCTAGAGAGCATTAGAGAAGAAGAAAGGAAGGGAAAAACAAGAGATTCAAGGGTGATTCAAAATCAAATATTCTTGTTCTTTACACCAAAGCTAAGGATTCAAGATCAGGGTTTTCTCTCATTCACTTACATTGAGGCTAGGGTATTTATATATGTATGTTTTAGCTATCAATGATATATATATGCTATGGAATCATCATCTCTTAGGCTTTTTGCAAGGATTACATATTTTGAACAAAGTAGGGTTTAATACCCATAAAATCTCCTTTCTAGTTTTAAAACCCTAATTTTTGGAGAGTGATGTATTTCCTTCCTAAATGCTTTCTTTATTATGGATTTCAAAACCTTAGTGCTTTGTGTTGAGTAGAAAAATGATGTTATTGTGATCTCATGTATTTTCTTAGTTGGTTGTGGAATTGGTACATGATATATTTTGGAGATTTTGGATAGATGCTTGTAAATTGAGATAAATGTTGGAATTGTATGCTTGGTTGAATTGTTTGTGATGCACATGAGTGAGAGGTTCCTTGTAAGGATGCTCACCCCTTCCCAAGAGGTTCCCGGTAAGGATGCTTGGGAAATAATGTAGTGATTGGTGAGAGGTTCCATGTAAGGATGCTCATCCATTCTCAAGAGGTTCCCGGTAAGGATGCTTGAGAATCAAAGGTGACCTAAAGGGGGGTGGAGGTTACCACAAAGTATGCCACCTACCGAAAGAATTGTTGGGAATTGGTTATGACAATTAATGGTTATTATTTGTATGTGGTGCTCGTTTATTCATTTAAGTAATGTTTTTAAATAAACTTGAGATCCTTTTTAAATGTCACTACTTTATTTCAAATTATGTATCTATGTTATGTTAAAATTGAGACCGACCATTTTAAATGCTTTTCTAAACCTTGTATGGGTTTGGGAGAATTTTTTTACAGAGCTTCGTGCTCACCCCCTATCACTAACATTTTTCAGATTAGGGTCGAGGAGCCCGCTACTTGGGAGACTCCACTGGATGGGAGTGTGGATCCCGAGGTGGACACATAGAGCAACCTCCTTTCCTTTTGTACTAGACTAGGACATTCTTTTTGAACATTGTGTAGTCTAGCTTCTTTTGTTTATTCCGCTGCACTTCTTTAATTAATTTTTGAGATGTAATATCCATGACTTGAGCTTATTCTTTTGGATAATATTGTAAATATTCATGGATGACAAATGAAGTCTTGTTTCTTAAGGGATTATATTAGTGCTCTCATGATATGAATGATTTTACAATGTAATGCCGTCCAAGGTGTGTTTTGGGGCGTTACATGTTCGTGATGTGCAAGTCGTCCCAATTGACATTTAGAGCACACGATTTCTTTACCAGCATAACACATTTCTGGTTCAAGCCTTGCGCATTGTAGCAAGGTTGATTTTGATATAACATTATAGCTAAGTGTCTAAAACACAAACTCATAAAAACTAATTGTTATTTTGTTGATTAAACGTATATCGTATCGTTAAAGTAGTGTATATATTTTTAATAAATTATTATATTAAAAGGCCAAATCATAGTGCTACAATGTTAAAATCCACTCGAATCAAACTATTTACCAAACTCACAATTATATAACAGTGTTGCATTAGCAGAAGTGTTTACCTATCCATTTTATTAACATCATAATTATAATAAAGTTGTTGTTTGGTGCAAAAAAGAAACACCATAACCCAAGTCACATCCAACATATTGTTTACTAATTACTGGACAAGTGGCAAGAAATGCAATATGAGATCCTAGAGTAATATGTTAATTCAGTTTCTGACTTTGTTTCAATTATATGTTATTTTTGTTCTCTACTACAACTACTATTTATTTATTTTCTGTGACACCCATGATGACATTGAGGTGATGATACTAATTTTACCAATTAGATTTGTGTATTTAGGCTAGGAATGAGAGAGGTTCTCAGGTAAATCCTAGATTGAGTTTAGGATTTGTCGTTGTGCATGTTAGTGGTTCAAATAAGGAATATGTGTAATCATCTTCCTAAACTCAAATTTTCATATTTGTTTGTCTTACAATGACAAATCCTAAAATCAATCTAAACTCAATCTAAGATAGAATCAAAAAAAGATTGGATAACACAAAAAGTAGATGGGTAGAAGAGTTGCCCAACGTGCTATGGACGTACCCAACCACACCACGTTGGGCAACGGGGGAAAGTCCCTATGTGATAGCTTATGGAATAAAGGTTGTACTACCTCTAGAAATTGGTCTTCCTACAATCAAGACAGACCTAGCAAACAATGGGGGCAATAGCATTGCCATCGATAGGGATTTGGATCTAGTGGAAGAAAAAAGAGAAGCAACAAGTATTAGACTTGGTTTCTATCAACAACAAATGTCTCGATCTCACAACAAAAAAGGTTCATCCTTGGAGTTTTATCCTCGAGGACCTAGTTCTAAATAAGGTAATGGGTTTAACCAAGGACCCAACACATGGAAAGCTTGGAGCAAACTGGAAAGGCCCCTATAAGGTCATTGGGGTCGGAGGAAATGAGTCTTATTGAAATGGAGGTGACTTCCTTGACTCTAGAACACGACAAATATGCGAAAGTTCTATTTTTAAAGTACCTTCAGAAATAGAACCCTGAAGTGCCTTTGGAGAATAACGATGGCCGGCACAAGATATGGAAAATCCTTTGTAATATGTTCTAATCAATAAATAGATTGGGTTGGTTTAAAAAACAATTGCCTTTTGAAAACCCCTTGTTTCTTAACCCTTTGTAAGGCAAAGGAATAGCCTTGAATAAAAATCCAAGCAAAAGCTCGTCCTATTGCTTAGGCAAGGAGGCAAAAAATTCTTGATAGAGGCAAGAGCCTAAATCAGGTGTAGCCATCCAAATAGAACTAGACCTAAGGCTAGGCATGAATAGAGTTATGAGTCTAAATATGTTAGCGGGTCGGTGCAATGGGCGAGCTAATGTGCTAAATGCCAGTGTCTTATCATAAAAGACAATTGTTAGGATCACGAGCCCAAGGCCNATAGAGTTATGAGTCTAAATATGTTAGCGGGTCGGTGCAATGGGCGAGCTAATGCGCTAAATGCCAGTGTCTTATCATAAAAGACAATTGTTAGGATCACGAGCCCAAGGCCAAGGGCTGAGCTTTGAATATTATAGCCGAGCACATTCGCTCAAGGGGCTGCCACCTTTTATCATTAGTTGTGAAAAATTCTAAGTATAAGGTCCCTTAGCAAATGTTTAAGGGCCGAGCTTTGGAAACTATGTCCGAGCACATCTGTTCAAAAGCCATCATATTCTCATTTTTTTCTAAATTTTTTTTTTTAAAAAAAGTGTTATAATCCCAAGTAAATAGCTAAGGACTTAGTTTTGAAGTTAAAGGAATTCATTCACTGGAAAGTAAAAGTACAAGAAAGAAGTTTTCATTTCATTCGTTACAAAAGAAATGATCAGGTAAAGGTAAAAGATCTTACTATGGTGAAGGAGGGGTAGAGGAGCTAGAAAGAGTGGGCCATGAGAACAACTCAAAAGATAAGGACATGTTTGCAGCTCGCAAGGTAGCTCCCTAGGCCTTTGCAAAGTGTGCCTACTTAAGAAGAGGTAGTCGCAAGGCCAACTTGCCTTCAGCCTTTTGCATTCCATGCTCAAAGGTGTCATCTTCCTTTTCTTACGAATGAACCTTAAAAAACTCATACTCCTCAAGAAGAGTGGCATGCTCCACTTGAGCAAGGGAGGGCTTAGTTATGGTCGCTGACTCAAAAGCTTTCCAATCAGCCACTATTGTAGAGAGTTTTCCATTCTCCTATATTAGATCGACCATTTGTGCTTGAAGAACAAGCATCTCCTCTCAGATTTTGCATACTCGGTGTCCACATTCTTCTTCTTCTCCAAAGTCGCCATGCGATCGTGGATGGCCTACTTCATGGCCTTTCCTTTTTTGTGATCTTGGCACTGACTTCATGGACTTTCTATAAACCCTAATTTTTCAAAAGAAGAGATGAATACAAAAAGAGGAAAGCATAGAGCAAAGTTTTAAAGTACAAAAAATAAAAAAGACTTGACTCACCAACACCATTTTTTGAATTGCTTGTTGGGTTATTTCATCATTAGGCATCCTCTCATTCTCTGCCAAATCACAAGGCAGAATCATTCCCCTCACTATTCCCACTGCCATATTCATGTTCTCAACCACCGAATCATATACCGTAATTTCTTTCCATTTTTTCCTTCAAGGTTGGGTGAAAAGGGGGAACCTCTCACTTGGAGGTTAAAAGGGGATCTGGTGAAGAAATCCTTGGCCTCTTCAAAGCACGGTCCTCAGCGTGAGCAAAAGTCAAATCTCCTTCAGTTATGTCGAGAAGAATGTTGGAAGTAGTATGAATAGGCTGAGGGACTTTTTGATTGAGAAGTGAGGTCCAATTGTGTTGTGTGTAGGCGCCTCAACCTCGTCGTTTGGAATGATGATCAACTTAGGCTCAGTTTTAGTAAGTCGAGTAGAAGCAGCCGAAGGCGGAGAGGTAGGATCTATAATAGGAGTAGGCTCGAGGATGGTGGCAGGGGTTAGAAAGTCAAGGAAGTTCCTCACCGGTCTATTCCTTCTACCTATCCCAGGGACAAACTTCTTATGGGAATGAGGAGTATGAGCTCGTGCAGCTTGTAGAGCTTCCTAGTCTTTGGTAAGAGTGGTGTTCGGACGATCAGGGATGGCAATAAAAAAGGTGTATATATGTGTATAACCTAACAACATAGGCACAAATCGACAAAAAAGGCTTTTGCTGTAGGACTACCAGACCTTCTTCAATTCATCTATCTTCACAGAGCTTTCTAAGATTTTCCATTTGACGGTTTCATCTTTTTAAAAAAAGAGAGAGAAAAAGAAGACAAAACCTCCCATGAAGAGGAATATTGCAAAGAGTACAAAAAAAAAGGGTGGAATGAAACTAAGAAGCATATCTACAAGTACTTGGTGCACCTTCTTTGTAAGGGCATTTGTATGATAGGGTCTCCTTAGCCTTGCACTCACAATTTTTAGAAACGAAGACCACGTCATTCTCGTGAGTCTGACAAATTGGTTATGAGATAGTGATCCTTCTTCCTAACTGCAAAGTAATAGTTGGCCCTGTTGGCTTGATGATATAGCAATAAAGGATCTCCCATAAGCCAAGTTTTAAGCCTAGGAGGTTATTCCGAGCTGTTATTCCCATTATAATCCTAAAAAGATTAGGACAATATTGGATGGGACGCAGTTTTAGTGAAGAAAGTACCCAAATAAGAAGATGATGGAGGGAAAATCTCACGCCATCCTCAGTAATGGCACAGGTGTAAATAAGGACAAATTCCCTACATCCAATTCGAAGGTTTGTTGGTTTCGGCCACCCAAGCCTCTACGTCGTTAGGGATATTGTATTTTTCTTTGAAAGCTAGAACATCTGATTCTGTGAGAGGAGCCATTTTATGAAGAAAACAAAAAGCAGTGAAGCAAGATGGCAAGTTTAGAAGTAAGCTTAGAAGAAAGAGAGTTCAGAGTATGAGAAAAAGTTGAGGGAGGAACTCCTTTTTAAAGGAGGCAAACAAGTGCCAAAAGTACAACTCTTGAAGATGAAGAGACATAGCATTAAATGAAAAATAATTTCAGACATGTGCAAGAAGGATATATGGCTCGAAGAGATAGGTAATCACAAGCCTTGAAATATGAAACGACCCATGCATGCCACATGGCATACGTTTTGTAGGGCCAAGTGAAGGGGCAGGATATTATAAGAAACGTATCAAGAGTAATCATTTCAGCACGTGGACAAGCCATGTGCGCAACAGTACCACATTGAGCTAAAATAGGTAGGTCCAAGGTTTAAATTCCAACCTATTGATAAGACCGAGCAGAATTAAGGGATTGACATCCCTAACCAAATTAGGCAAAATAATGACTAATCATCCAGAAGATTGAGAATCGAACATGAATGTCTTAGCAAACATCATTAACAAATCCTGAAGAGCAAGCTAATTAGGGAAGTTGGAGAAATATTCATCAAACAGTTGAACATCCAACATAACGAGATGTACCACCTTGAAACATAACCTAGGAAAACCATAGGAGAAAGGGGTGATCTATAAAAGGGACCCAGGAGATTCATCAAAGGGACACTGAATTTCCTTTACAATTCTCTTCGGTCTGAAGCATCTACTGACTTAAGCATTTTTTTTACTGACTTAAGCATCAGAGTGTCTTCGATCGGTCAAACATACCCCCTACATAAGTAAAGGACAATCTCTTAATTTGATTAGAAAACAATCTCCTAGTTTAATTATAAGACAATCTTCTAATTTAATTAGAAGACAATCTTCTAATCCTAAGTAAAGGACAATCGCTTAATTTGATTAGGAGGCAATCTCCTGGTTTAGTTAAAAAACAATCTCCTAATTAAGTTAGAAGACAAACTCCTAATTTAGTTAGAAAACAATCTTTTAATTTAATTAAAAGACAATCTTTTAATAAAATTAGAAAGTAATCTCCTAATTTAATTACAATACTATCTCCTTAAGTAATTAGAAGACAATCTCCTATTTTGTAAGGAAGTAGATAAAAATTAAATAGGAGACCTAATTGTATCCAACTTAAACAAGCCAAGAGNGTAATTTAATTACAATACTATCTCCTTAAGTAATTAGAAGACAATCTCCTATTTTGTAAGTAGATAAAAATTAAATAGGAGACCTAATTGTATCCAACTTAAACAAGCCAAGAGTCCTTTCCATAATTAAGCCTTGAGACTTCACAAATCTAATTTTATAAAATTATTAAAGTTAATTTTTATATTTCATAAAAAAAATAAAAATAAATGTTGAACAAAAATTTAGATCAAATCAAAGTAAGATTTGAAGAACTTTTCGAGAACATTATGAACTAGTCTTTTAAGTTCTACTTCAAGACCACCCTTGCCATTTACCATTGAAGGTAGTCATGATTCCCAATCAACTATGGTTGGACACAAAACCTTTATCCTGGCCACCATTGGACCAAATATTTGATTTGTTCCATCCTTAGTTAAATTTTGAACCTGAAACAACTGAAATTTAGTTTTTAAGAAAAACTGTTACTAGTTTTCTTCAATTTTAAAATATGGTTTTAACACAATTTTAAATGCATGGATCCATTAATATCTCATATTAAACATGTGAAAAAAAATTGAATTTATTTTGAAGAAAATCATCACAAAATAATATGATTCATGAGAATTATGCAATCCCTAGTATTTCTTGGTTAATCCCATTGACATGCCATAATAGTAATAGCATCAAATTTTTATTAAATAATGAATAATGGCTCTGATACCACTGAAAGGAATCATATAATAAACGTAGTGAAATTTAAAATAAATATTGATTCCTCATTTCAAGATCTATTCATGTTTAATACCAACTGAGAAAACTTAGATCTATAGTGAATAGTAATGATTACCTCTTAAATTGTGTTTTTAGCAATCTTCAAGCTTTCTCAAAAATTTTGAATTTGATCTTTATCCCAAGCTTTGCAATTGTTTGGCCTCTATCGGTATCCACACAAATTGATAAACTTGAAGGATCTACCTCAACCTTTGATAAACTAGTAGAGAGAGACAATGGTGGATGAATTTTTCTTGTGCTAGCAAAAGAGAGTTGTTATCTCATATATCCTCATATATAAAGATATTTATAGAGCTTTAGAGTGTAAAACAGATGAAAATTTAAAATTTTACTGTGAAAGAGCAAAGTAGTAATTTGTCAATACGGTACGGGTTGAAAATCTAAATTTTTCTAGAACTCGGATGACAAAACGGATCTCACCGTTGGATTCGTCTAGCAAAATCTAGTTACCTAATCAATTTTTGTTGAATTTTAAGATAGTCAGATTTTTTACGTTTTACTATGCGATGGGGTGTCGCGCGACTAAAATAAACGTGATCGGGTTTTAATTACGAAACACAGAGAATAATTGAAAGTCAATTCAAATAAAATATATTGAATTTAACATGGAACGAGATTTAATTGATTCGGGATAACACCGGATCATAAAAAGATGGGATGTGTGGCTCAATGAGGGCCAAGTATTAAGGGGTACAAATGGGGGACAAAATCAGATTTTTCTCCTCATTTACATAGCCATTTTTGGATAGAGAGAGAGAAGGAAGAGAGAGAAAATTAAGAGTTCTTCGAGCTTCTCCTTGCGATCTGGGACGATCAGTTCGAAGGATTCCCTCGGGCCAAGAACAAAAGTGTTTTACATGACGAGAGCTACAAGCATTTACCAAAGATTATGGGTTTCACCAAAGTGTCAAGATCAGGATTCTTAGATTCAAGTCCTTTAAGCTTGATTTGGGTGATTTGAGATTTCTCCTAAGCGGTATTACATTTTAAGAGGTAGGGTTTCTTTCCTAACTAGATTTATTTTCAACCTAGGGTTGTGTATGGAATGAGTATCATGATTAGAGATGAAATCTTTTGTTTAACATACACCTAGTGTAACTAGAGTATGAGAATGGTATAATAATGTATATAATCAATTCTAGCATGAATAGAGTATTTTGAAATTGCTTGTTTGTAATTTCATGAAAGAATGTGTTAAATTGGGCATGCTATGTGGTTGCATAATTTTGTGCCTTGTAGGTGTTTGATAAAATGCCTGGGAATGATCCAAGTATGTTATTTGAATGAGAATTATATAACATGCTTTGGTGATGTTGTGGATTGTGATTATATGCTTATGATATAATTGACAATTGATGAAATTGGAAAATATTTGTAGACATTGAAATTGTTCATAATGTGCTCGTGACATATTGAATATGATATGATAATTACAATTGTGCATTACATTTGCATATACACGAGAAGTATCATATTTGTGGGCATGAGACATGAGTGTGGGTGTGTGTGCATGGTTTGATCAAACACCAACCTTGGTGGGTTGATACGTGGGCTTGGAAAAGTTGGACCTATGTTCGACTGAGTTGCCCGAATTGCATTGAAAACAAGGGTCGAGGTTAGCAAGAAGGACTTGATTTTTCGACGGGTGCAAGACTCGACCATTTTGGATACGCACTCCATTAGTATTTAGTCCATAAATTGTGTTGGCGTACGTAGAGCCATTGATGGAAGTCCATAGATGCTGTGTCGGTTGGGTACCCATTAGTGGAAGTCCATAAATACTAACCCCAAAAAAGACCCAGGATTTTGTAAATTGGTCATTGGATGTTCAACATAAATGGCGGGGGATGGGAATGCTTGGGTACATACGCATGACATTGCATGTGGTATGGGAGTCGGTGAAGGGCTCAGTTGCATTTCATACTTGAGATTTATCTCATGACATGACATGCCATTGTGTAATCCATTATGAATTGCATATTCTTGAATGGATGTTTGATTGATTGTTGAATAGTATGTGAACATTTCATATGCATCTGCATTGGGGAGTAGCCTCTTTAGGATATACCTTATTGAGCGTGACTCACTCTTTATGGGAACAACATTTCAGGTGCGGAACAAACACTGGTGGACGGCCCTTATTTAGGCCCAAGTTGATGAAGAAGCTGAGATGTGGCTTCAAATTACATTTTGTAAA